GAAGACAGTCAGTGAGTGGGGGCAGGGATGATCTAACTCAGTCTAGGTGGGTCTAAGTGGGCATCCAGAAAGAGGGGGCATCTAAACACAGTGGAGGGGATACACCCAGGCAGAGATGTGAGGCAGAAGGCCACCTGGACCCTGCACTCCCATGATGATGGTTGCCATGGGGGCTTCCACAGGGCTAGGACAAAGTGAGTGTATAATGAGCTTGGGTGGCTTGTTGTGCGTGAGGCAGGTCATGGAAAGGGAGAGCAGAGGTAAGAGTGACAGTCACACTCAGGCTGGGCGACTACAGAGAAGTTAGTTGCAGCCACTGACAAAGAGAACACAAGAAGAGGAACAGAAGAAGCAATCCTGGAGCACATGTGCCACCGCTTCAGAATGGGAGGTATTTATCAACTCCCGGGAGAAACATACAATAGACAGATGGGTTGGGACATATCCTTGTGAAGCAGCCTAGCAACTCCTCAGCGCAGCTGTTAAGTACAAAATAAGATGCCTGACACTTGGGAGTTTGACTTGCAGAATACTAAGTACTGCTGGGCTCCATCACTATCAACCATAATGGCTATAAATTGTTCCCTATGTTTCATGCCACTGACCAACAAGACAACAACATGCATGGAAAAAAATTTAAAAATCACACAAGTCCACTGCAATTCAAAGACAAAAATTTGAGCAGTTATTTCTTGAGAGGTATAAATAAAAAAATAAAATGTAAAAATTATTTCCCCTTCCTCCTCCCTAGCCCTGCCACCCCTTGGCCATTGACTTTGTGGTCCATGGTTTATTTTTTAAATTGTCACAGTATTCTCAGAAACAAGAATTGTAAGTGTCATGCCACCACTGGTTTAGATGACTGGCAGAATCATTAACTGCTCCAGCTATGGCTTGATGCACCAGCATCCAACACAGGAAGTTCCAGCACAAGCACAGAGAGATCTCCTTTCAGTAACCTAGAAAGGCCTGGCTAGTATAAAACAAGCTAAAACTTGACATCTTTGTCATATAATAAAGAAAGATTCAAAGCTAATGTACCTTATAAGTTTGCAAAGGTATATTTTAATTGAGGGAAAAGGAGGCTGTTGCATATTTTAGCAATTATCTAGTTATAAAACTCATTGAAAAAGTACAGTCCTACTTTCTCTTTTTAAGGACTGACAAGTAATTAAAAGTCAAACAATTAACCTTGCTTTAACTTTTCTTTTTTGCCCCTAAAGACATGGCCAATTCATGTCTTATTAGAAAAATTTTATACTATGTTTATCAATGGAGGACTCAGATTATCCTGAAATTAGAATTGAATGCAGCATACAAGCCCATCTGAGCATTTTTCCCCCCAGGGAGATATGTCTATACTTATTTTCTAAGCACTTCACATGCAGACTAAGAATCACGCCTTATTCCCACATTTCACTGAGATTCTCCTACAGGGTATAGTATAAATACTGATCACCAATTATGGGTTCATGATTAAGAATGTCTACTTTCATAGGAGCATAACTAGAAAGAACCTCAAAAGCTATGAAGTTTATTCTCTTGCTTGTAGGCAAAATACCTCCCAAAGTATTCAAGTCAGATAAAAACTCATTCTGTTTATTATTTTCCCTGTGGGAAAGCAATTCTAACACCTCATTCTGTAACCTATAACATTTTTAAGAAACACTGTAAAATTTTTCTTTGGTCTGCGTATACTCAAGTTTAGGTCCTCAATAATCCTATTACTATTCTTTAAGCGTAGCTTTCAATTTGTATTCCTCTTTTCTAGAAGACACATTACAATGCTCTTGTCACATGTGATAAATGTCTATGGACATGAGCCAGCTCACACATGTCAAGCCGGCATCTAGCCAATACCCTAGGATCCTTGTATGATCCAGTTACCAGTAAGAGTGCACAGGGCACACTGTAGGAAGAAGAGGTTCTTCTGCCATCCTGGCAGCTGCACTGAGGGCCAGAGTGTGTGTTGGGAGCATCTGCTGGACAGTCAACATCACCAGGGGCCTTCATCTCAGTCCTCAACCTGAGATCAAGTTCTTGCCTCCCCCTCAGCAATGGATTCTGAGCACTGACACCCCACTCTTTTGCTCGCCTGTCTATTGCCTGAGTTTATCTCCAGAGAATCTCCCAAGCACTCGGCACTGCAAACCACCCACAAATGTGCACCCCAACCCCCAAACTCTGCAGACTACCCAATCAATGTCAGAATCATTCCCAACTCTGTACAGCTGCTTCTTGTTTTCCCCAGGGACAAAAGGCCTGGTCTAGCTTGGGCCACCCAACAACTATCCACTGTCCTCAGGTATACAGCTGCCACGAAGGCCTAACCTGTGGCTTGAGGAAAGGGGCCCTTTTTAAACTTGTCTTTGCTTGGGTATTACCCTTAATTTTAGGGCACCCCACAGGATGCTCTTTAAATCTCAGTTACTATTCTATGTGGTTCAACAATTCCTTATATTAAACTTCAGTCAGTATGATTCCTATTTCTCATTAGTCCAACCCAGAATAAAATAATTACACTTATTCATTGGCTGTACTCACTGGTAGTATTTTCTAAGGGTACCTCTTCAGTAGTTTTTATTTTTCCTTCAAGTTGAATTGTATTAAGGTTAAACAATGTAGTGTAAACATTCCCTATTTACTGGAATTTATTGATATGCTTTGAATATAAAGCATGATCAACTTTTAAAAGGTCTTCCCAGAAAGCTACAAAGAAGGGACAGTTTTTATCATCAGAATACAGAAATGGATCTAATTTGTAAGTTTGAACTTATTAACATTTTCATATCCTCCATACTGGAATTAAAATTTTTATTCCACAAAGAGACAGGTGGCAAATAAAGGATTTGGGGCTGGAAGAGCTTCACTACAACTCAACTCTACTGCTGAGGTGCAGTAGGAGCTACAGATGATATGTAAATGAATTCTACCTGGGACTATATTCAGTAAGACTTTATTTCCAAAAGAGGGCCAGAGTTAACCATAACCAGTAGTTATAGTTTGTCAACTCCTGCTCCCCATTATTGGTATCTATTTGGTCTATAAAGGAATGAGAAAGATACATTAACTCTTACAAGAGTAGTATGACTCTTTGATTTCTCCGTTTGTTCTCAGTCGATCCGACTTACATAGTCCTATGCCCTGATTACTTAGCCAAAAGGGAATAGTTAAATCTACTGTGGATTTTATTACTCACCATTGTAAAATATTTATCTTTAAAAGTTTTTATTTTGTTGTGTTTTTTTTTAGGGGGAGGGCATTAAACCTATGTTTAATACAAAACATTAGAAAGAAAATATAAAACATGACAATAAAATTAAGTTTTAAGAGATAACTTTCTCAATAAATCAAGTGGATAAGTTTACCTATTAAAGGAACACAAATCTTCTTGGTATAAGATTAATATAAGAATAAATACAAGCTGTTGAAGCGATAGTACAGCAGGTAGGGCATTTTCCTTGCACACAGTCCCCCTATGTTGGATTTCTGACACCCCGTGTGGTCCCCTGAGCACTGTCAGGAGTAATTCCTGAGTGCAGAGCCAGGAGAAATCTCTGAGCATCACCAGGTATGTCCTACCCCAAAAACAAAACAGAAAAAAATAAAAGTTAAAGTAGTAAAATAATATTAATAATAATAATAATAAAGCACTAAATCTCAGAAGATGGCAAATACCAAAATTTTATCTCTAAACTTATATACTAAAGATATATCATATATGTTTTACTGATAAGAGTCTTCATATGTGTGACTTTTAATTTTATTTTTATTCTACGGGTATAATCATTCTCAGTATCACATATTGCATCAATTAAGTTATTTGAAGATGTCTTGAGTATTTTCTCTGTCCTAAAGAGCTTGTGAGTTGCTGATGGTGCCCTTCACTCACTGGAGCCCTTGGCCTCTGAGACAGGGCTGTAGGATTGGGCTGAGACTCTGAATTAGAAAATTTAAATGCTGCTCTTTTCCCAGTAATCTCACAGTGTAAAGTTCTATACACAAACTCCTTCTATCCTGTCAGGAGACTTCTATCCCATTCCCTGGGGGCTGGGGCAGTCCCCTTGCATCAGGGTGCACCCACTTCCCCTCTATCATGACAGCTCTTCTGTGGCCACTGGTATTAACAGGGACCAACCGTCTGCCTGGTTTCCTTCTCACTTGGCTGAAAAAACCCTTATGGTCAAGCACAGTGAAGGCTACAGAAATTATTCCTCCAAACAGCACTGACCTCCTTTTCAGCCAGTGGGTAGAAAAAGACAAGTATAGGCATTTTGGAGAGCAGTGAGTTGCTGGGTGCCTTTGTGGTGGGTGAAGCCCTAATGATGCCTTCCCTGATGTGGCCTGGCCCTGAGTACTTGGGCCCATAAATTGGGAGAGGGGTGCAGGAAGCTTTATGGAATGGCACCAAGTGACTCTCTAACCACTGCTCTGTCTGGCCCTGAGCATATGCCAGTTGTGTATCCCTTGGGAACTTGACGTTTGGCTGAACTTCTTTCCTAGATTCAAACCCAAAAGCTTGTGATGGACTTTTTTACACTCAGCGCTTTCCTGGCTTTATTACATTTTACTTATTTCTCTTTCTGTGGAAACCAAGAGGGAGAATCTCTAAGTCTGTGTATCTCCCTTGCCAAGGACTCCTGCAAGCCAGAGCAACTCTAAGATACTGGAAGAGAGTGGACACTACCCATGGAGCATTGCTTCTCTCTTTCAATCTTAATTTTTTTTAAATACCTTTCTTTTTTTTTAATTTTTCCATCTTACATTCATTAAAGATTGAGATTCTGCTCTCCTTAAATATCTATTTAAATGAGTGAAATGCCACCTGGTTTTAGAATAAAACAGTTTTGTATTTCTATGCCAAATACTCCTCTGAAATCCCTTTGGGGTTGAGTTTTGAAAGCATGCACTCAAGACATCCTGAAATTCCAACAAAGAGAAAATGATCCCCGCCTTGGAGATGTTCCCATGTGCACATGCACACAGAGGCCGGCTCTTACCAAGGGAACCAGCAGGCTGATGAGGTCCGTCAGAGGCTTGCTGACCAGCAGAAGATCTTCAGCCATCTGTGTGTCCCGACCCGAGCCTAATTTCTGTGCCTTAAATGGGGAAAAAAGAAAAGCAAGGTCTTAGGGATTTGTCAGCTTGTACACAGGAGATAGGGTCACTCCAGTCTAGCACTGGGGTTCTCCAACTTACTTGGCATTCTTATTTGTTTGTGTTTTGGGGTCACACCTCGAAGTGCTCAGGCATCACTCCCGGCAGTGTGTGTGGTGGGTGGGGGGGTGGGGAGGGGAGCACCATAAGGCACCAAGGATCAAACCTGGGTCTCTGGTCTCTAGTATTCCAGACTACTGAGTGATCTTCCTAGACTACTTCTGGGCATTTTAATGCGCATTATATGATGCAGTTTGATTATATTCTGCTATGTATTCCTTTCCTATATGAATGCCCACACTCAAATAATTACTAGAACATTTGTCCAGTGTTCTACTACCTGAACAGGCTGGAGTGATAGCACAGCAGTAGGGCGTTTGCCTTATGCACGGCCGGCCCGGCCAACTCGGGTTCAATTCCTCCACCCCTCTCGGAGAGCCCAGCAAGCTACCGAGAGTATCTCACCTGCACGGCAAAGCCTGGCAAGCTACCCATGACATATTCTATATGCCAAATACAGTAACAACAAATCTCACAATGAAGACATTACTGGGCCCTCTGGGGTAACTCGATGAACAACGGGACAGTGCTACAGTGCTATTGCCTGAACAGGCCTCGGATACAGGTTTACATTGCCTGGCAGTAGTCCTGGCCTAAACTGCAATGTAAATCAGGAATAAGGAGTCACTCTGAGTGTAAACTCTCAGAGGAGCTTTACAGAACTAATTTCTACAGATTTCTATTGAATGGCTCATTGAACATTGAAAAGGCCACTGGTTATTTAGTTTGCAATAGTATATTTCATTCACTTATGTCCTCACTGTTCCTAATTTCACTCAGAACCAACAAAACCACATTGAGCTAATGACCCTGGCCAGAGGGGGGCTTCAGGCTGCTTGCTGCAGGTCATTAACATGTACTCCCTGGTGCTGCTCCTGATGGCAGAACTTGCCTTCTGCTCTTTGCAAAGCAGGCAGAAGTGCAGTTGTCTGCTTTCTCTGGCTCAGGAAGAGTTAAATGAAAACCAGGCACCTGCCTTCAACAGATTTGTACTTCTGGGCAGCCAGGAGCCACAGTGGCGATCGCTTTTCATGAAACCCCATCTCCAGGTTTCCCTCCCAGACCCTTCCCAATGGACCATATCAGAAAGGTACAATTTTTCTCCAAGAAAACAAGTGTGAAGCTCTAGCCTAGAGATCAGAACTTTTCTGAATCGTGACTGCTTTGTCACAATTAAATCCTATGACTTTTCACTGCTAACACATTCTCCCTTGGGCAGATGCTCTCTTGGAGAACAGGACACAGTCTTGTAAACCAGCACCCAAAAAGTAAGGGCCATGGGGGTCACAGAAAGCAGGTGGGGCCACAAGGATGCTCACTCACTGGGGCAGGTTTTTTTTTCATCATATATTCCATGGTCCTATAGATCCTCCAAAATCTTTAGTTCATTTGTCTTTAACCAGCAAGAAACATCTAGACGCTGCCTGACTCCTTGCAAAGTTGTCAAAGGTTCCAGAAAGGGAAATGCTGTGGCTTGACACACCAAGCAGGCACATATCAAAGGTTAGTGAGAATTTCAACAATTCTCACAAAATCAGGGTTCCACAATGGAAGTTCTGTGCACCAAAGGAGTGTCTGCACAGAGCCCGGAGTGAGCAGAGAAAATAAACTAGAAATTCAGGGCCAGCCTTTTCTCTAAATTCCCAGCACCACTCTCCCTTCAGGCCAGCCAGCCTCTGGATCTGACTTCTCCGTGCATTTTGCAAAGGGTTCTTTCCAAAGATAGCAAGTTCCTTTATCTGCTATGAGAGTGCCACACCAGGACTTAGCCCACTCCTGTCCTCTCAATTTCTCAACTAAGCCAGTTGTTAGGACCCAAGCAAGAGCAGATGGCCAAAAGAGCTGAGATGCTAAGAAGAGGGTCTGACCCAAGTAGTTCTATTTTTCATTTAAAATAAACTATACATTATTTGGTGATGGATTAAACATAGGACGTGAAAAAGAGGAACATGTTAGAATGATCCAAGGTTCCAGTTTGCAACACAGGATGAAGATAGCACAGCTTACTAGCAGGAAACTGGTTTTGGGAGGTGGATCCTGAGTTCAGCTTTGGACAACTTGAATTTGAGTTGATTAGTGGGGCATTCCAGTTGTAATATTGAGGGACCCACTGAGTATAAAAGTTATGAACCTCAGAGGAGAACAGCAGGTAGAAATAGAATTTTAACACTTTACCATATAAAAAAATGGTATGTCAACTTCTGAGTCCTATTTAATATGAAATGGCAAATTAGTATTCCCCCAAACAAGAGAAGCGAATATAGTTAACTTTTCAGCATAATCAAAAGAAAAAGTCATAATTATCCCAGCTATTTCTTCTAGCATTGCTATATGAATCTAAATCACCAGGGTAGGGGGTTGGTAAGGAAGGAAAAGTAGAAAAAAAGTGGAATGCTGCCAAGAATTACATGAAGATAAGCATAAGGGTGATAAAGTGCAGACTCCATTTGGAAGTTGCAACTGTTAGAAATGGATTTGGGGACCATGGGAGTCAGGCAGACAGAGTCAGAAAAGTATTCTAAGACTGAATGTTTCACCAAGGATATAGAAAACGCTATTCTAACGGGAGCTTTTACAGGAAGGGAGAGACATGATGGGTACTATGGACAATTGCAGCGAAGTGTCACATACATTCAGAGGAATGCCTATGGATAAGATAATGGTAGGGTGAGGTGGGGAATGGGACCAGAGTCAAATGGATGACAAGAGCCATTAAACAGGGACCATGGCCCCACCACCAGGTGTGTGAGACCGAGAGGAATCCAGTGGCTATGCTTCCTCTCTCAGCAATAGCAACATATCTGTAAATAAGCAATAAGTGAACTTCCTTACCACCAGTCTGTCAAGTTCCCCCCCCAACCCCCATTTCTGAAATGACAGATATGGCTCAAGTTAGGCAACTAGGATTTTAATAGTGAATGTTTGCCTTCGTAGACCCCAAGACTGGAGTAGGATCCCCATCTCCTATACTCACTCTGCAGTGTTCACAAGACTCACCAGGGCAAAATGAAAACAAAATTAATCTGATAAGCTGACTAGGTGCCAATTTATTCAGTAAATGAGAATGGAGGACTCTGCCACTCACTGTGATCCAGAAAGGAGGACTAGGACATCTGGCTAACAGGAAGTCCCTTGTAAACAGGAAGGTGGGGTGAGTACCTGTCTTTTTGTTGCTAATGACATAGCAACCAATCCTTGCTTACCCTCCCTAGACCAGTTCCACATAAGGCACTTTAGATATCCTTAATCTCTCATTGAAACAACCCATGATAAGAAGGTAGAGTACTTACTACCTACTTATCTCCATGCCAAAGATGAGAAAAATGATCCTTAGAAGAAGTAATTTGTCTGGGTCATACAGGTAGCAAGTGATGTGGCTGGGATTCAAATACCAGATCATCCAGCCTGTGAGGCTTCCATGCTCTCACTACATCTGTGAGCCTTGATCCATTTCTCTCACCAAACTCTCAGGGTGAGTTAGAGTCAGATTCAGTCAATTCTGAATCACCCAGGAAGTGGAGGTGTCTAAACCCAGGAGAGTATGATTTCTTCAGCTCTTTCTTGCCTTTCTACCACACACACTTGTATCATATCATTCTAGTTTCACAGGAAGTGTTTTGCAAAGCTAAGCACAATTACAATTTTATTTTTGCTTTTTTGGTCACACCCAATGATACTCACTGGTTACTCCTGGCTCTGCACTCAGGAACTACTCCTGGCAATACTTAGGGGACCATGTAGGATGCTGGGGATTGAACCAGGTTGGTCATATGCAAGGCAAACGCCCTACCTGCTGTACTATGGCTCCAGCCCCCACATTTATAATTTTTAACATTATAATTGTTCATTTGTTCTACACTAGAGATGTTTCTGTTAATAGACACTGTTTTTGAATGCAGAGGAATTCTCAGAGCAGATCATACTTAAAAAAGAAAGAGGTAACTTAAACTTTGGAAAATACATATTACTCAGTGTCCTAAGAGGAACTGTTTTTTATTTTTAGTTTTTAAAAAAAATTTTTTTTATTGAATCACTGTGAGATAGATGCTTACAAAGCTGTTCATGATTAGGTTTCAGTTATACAGTGTTCAAACACCCAGTGTACATTTTCCAGCACCATGTCCCCAGTTTCCCTCCCATCACCACGTTCCCCTCCCCCCACCAGCCTGCCTAATGCAAACTCCATTTCTTTTCCACCCTTTCCCCCTAATTCAGTCTCAAGGACTCTACCTCTTTCACACTGACACCACAGAGATCAAAGTCTGCAGTCAAGGCCAAATGTAATATGTGGGAGGATTTAGAAAGATAGAGTCTTAAAAACAAACAGAGGTGTTGAAGAAAATAAGGGAAGGAAAACAATCGTGATTTCTTGGCTCACTAGCAGCAAATTGAAAAGAGATTTAAAAAATACTTTTTACTGAGGAATTCACTTTGCAATTCCCTTGAATACCTAATCATTTCAACTAAAAAGGATTTCAATAATTTTTAAACTTCTGATCCTCTTTATCTATAATCTATAAAACATGGTCTTTTATAGCCTGATAATATCAGACATCTTGTGAGAGCAACTATCAACTGCCTCTGGAAGAATTATTGTAAACTACCACTACAGCAACTAAAATAACAAGAGGCAATGTCTTCTGAAGAGACACTGGCTAGGAAAACAAATAGGAAAAGCTAAAATAAATTCTTGATTCAAGATTCCATAAATGTTATTTCTGTTTTGCCATTAATTTATAATCACTTCAGATAAGCAAATACAGACAAGGTAGTTCAAAGATAATTTTCAACTATTGTCTTTATAGGTTTGCATTAAAAAACATGGACTACCAGGCTTGTGGAGGGCAATTCTGGATTTATTAAACTACTAGACAAACTAAAAATGTGATCAGAGTAACTGTGGAAAAAAAGAAACCAGTTATTGTACCGATGAGTAACAGAGACTACACCAGGGCTGAGGGAGTCATTCGTGATTCTGCTACTATGACTCTTGGCAATGTATCATAGCAGTCTGGTCTCAGCTTCAGCTTCTATCCCAGCCAGGATGTGACCACTGATATACTTTCTCTTACAACTTTAACAGGTTTTAAAAGAGATTCATAACTTCACACTGGCTGTGCTTTCACAAGTAGAAGCAACTCTATTGATTAAAGGGGGCTAAATCCAAGAGGTATGTAGAGGTATCTAACCCCAAGGTAAATGATCAACAAACATACATCCTTGAAGCTTCATGTAAAGGAAGTCCAGACTGCAGTTTGGGACAAACTAACTTTCCAGAACCATTCAATACATTTTTGTCACCAAAACTATCTTGCAGCTCCATGATATTTGGATGTACGGGAAACCATGTAAGAGACCTTATGTTATATATGTGTACATGTGCGTGAATATCTCTGTATGTACAATCTTGTGTGTGTGCATGCGTGTATGCACCTCAAAACTCAACCCACTGCTCCCAACAAGGTGGAGCCCCATCTCCGGCCATGAAAAGATAGCACAAGGCCTGTCCTAGAAAGTGATTAGGCAAATGATCGCCTTGCTCAGGGAAGATACACAGCCAGAGTTCACTAAGTCTTTGCTTAGTCATGTGCTGGTTTCCATGATGGTTTTGCAATCAAGTTAACTGTTCTTGACATTGTTCACTCCACAATGGCTTCCTTCTTAGCCTCTGTCCTAGCACATAAGTCTTTTTTTTTATTGAATCATCCCAAGATACACAGTAACAGAGCTTTTCATAGTTGATTTTCAGTCATACAATGATTTAACACCCATTCCTCCACCAGTGTACTTTTCCTACTACCAATGTTCCCAGTTTCCCCCCTCCCCCCACACACCTATTTAAAAATTTTATTGAATCACCGTGAGATAGTTACAAGCTTTCATGTTTGGGTTACAATCACACAATGATCAAACACCTGTCTCTCCACCAGTGCACATTCCCCACCACCAATATCCCCGGTATACCCCCCTTTCCCACCCTCCCCCTGCCTCCATGGCAGAAAATATTCCCCATACTCTCTCTCTACTTTGGGGCATTATAGTTTGCAATATAGACACTGAGAGGCTATCATGTTTGGTCCTTCATCTACTCCCATCCCAACCAGTTCCTCAAGCCATCATTTTCTTAGTGATCCCTTCTCTATTCCATCTGTCTTCTCCCCTTTGCTCATGAGGCAGGCTTCCAGCTATGGAGCAATCTTCCTGTCCTGTGTATCTGCTATCCTTAAGTGTCAGCCTCATGTTATGTTGTTTTATATTCCACAAATGAGTGCAGTCCTTCTATGTCTGTCCCTCTCTGACTCATTTCACTTAGCATGATACTCTCCAACTCATTTCATTTATAAGCAAAGTTCATAACTTCATCTCTCCTAACAGCTGCATAGTATTCCATTGTGTAGATGTACCAAAGTTTGGAATCATCTTAACCAAAGAGGTGAAGGACCTATACATGGAAAATTACAAAACACTACTTCAAGAAATAAAAGAGGATACTAGGAAATGGAGACACATCCTCTGCTCATGGATAGGGAGGATTAACATTATCAAAATGGCAATACTCCCCAAAGAACTATACAAATTTAATGTGGTCTCTATCAAGATACCCATGACATTTATCAAAGAAATAGACAAAACACTCCTGAAATTCATATGCAACAATAACCCCCCTCCAACCCATGAATAGTTAAAACAATCCTTGGGAAAAAAGAAGACGGGTGGCATCACCTTTCCCAACTTCAACTGTACTACAAATCAGTAGTAATTAAAACAGCATGGTACTGGGCTAGAAACAGACATACAGACCAATGGAATAGAGTTGAATATTCTGCCACAGACCTCCAAATATATGACCACTTAATCTTTGACAAAGGAGCAAGACATGTGAAGTGGAACAAGGAAAGCCTCTTCAGTAAGTGGTGCTGGGAAAACTGGATAGCTACCTGCAAAAAATGAACTCTGACCTTTTTCTAATGCCAGGCACAAAAGTCAGATCAAAGTGTATTAAAGACCTCAATAACAGACATGAATCTATAAGGTACATAGAGGAAAATGTAGGCAGAACTCTCCACGACATTGAAGCTAAAAGCATCTTTTTTTCCCTTTTTTTGCGGGGGAGGTCACACCTGGCAATGCTCAGGGGTCACTCCTGGCTCTGCACTCAGGAATTACCCCTGGCGGTGCTCAGGAAATATGGGCTGCTGGGAATCGAAGCTGGGTCGGCCGTGTGCAAGGCAAATGCCCTACCTGCTGTGCTATCACGCCAGCCCCCGTGAAGCTAAAAGCATCTTTAAGGATGAAACAGCACTGACCATGCAAGTGGAAGCATACATAAACAAATGGGACTACATTAAATTAAGAAGCTTCTGCACCGCAAAAGAAACAGTGACCAAAATACAGAAAGTGCCTGCAGAATGAGAAAGAATATTTATCCAATACCCATCTGATAAGGGATTAATATCCAGGACATACAAGACACTAGTAGAACTGTACAAGAAAAAACTTCCAACCCCATCAAAAAATGGGGAGAAGAAATGAACAGAAGTTTCCTCAAAAAAGAAATACAAATGGCCAAAAGGCACATGAAAAAGTGCTCTACATCACCAGTTTCCCCTCTTGCCCACCCCCAGCCTGTCTCAAAGGCAGGCACTCTCATTCTACTCTTCTCTCTCTCTCTCTCTCTCTCTCTCTCTCTCTCTCTCTCTCTCTCTCTCAGTCTTTCTCCCCCCTTTCTTTTCCCTCTCCCCCCCTCTCTTTCCTTTTCTCTCCCTCTCTCTGTCTCTCCTTCTCTCTCCTCCTGCCTCTCTGTCTCTCTACCCCTCCCCCTCTCCTTTTGGGAATTATGATTTTTAATATAATACTGAGAGATTATCATGTTTGGTCCTTTACCTATTTTCAGCACTCAGTTCTAATCCAGAGTGACCATTTCCAGTTATCTTTGTCATAGTGGTCCCTTCCCTATCCCAACTGCCTTCTTCCCCAGCACTTGAGGAAGGCTTCCAACTGTGGAACAATCCTCCTTGCTATTTTTTCTACCGTCCGTGGGTATTAGTCTCATGTTATGTTTTTTAGTCTCATATTCCACGAATGAGTCCAATCATTTTATGTCTGTCCCTCTCCTTCTGACTCATTTCACTCAGCATGATACTCTCCATGTCCATCCATTTACAAGAGAATTTTATAACTTCATTTTTCCTAGTAGTTGCGTAGTATCCCCATTGTGCAGATGTACCATAGTGCCAGTCATCTGTTCTCAGGCACTCAGGTTGTTTCCAGATTCTGGCTATTGTGAATGAGTCTTTAACATGCTATTATGTTTCGGTTGCCAAGCTTTCAACACACAACTGCATATTCTCTTTTCAAAGACAAACCCATTCTGAAGAAGAGAGTGAAAGGAAGTGTGACATGTATTAGCGTTGCTCAAAATAAGGGCAAAGGGGTTCTCTACCTGCAGAGCCAGCCGCACAATGCCAGATGTATAGGTCAGCATGCCATGCAGAATTTCAAGCAGGGAAAACAGCAGTGCAGCAGACGTCTCATTGTTGTTCTTATTCTCCACATCCAAGCAGATTGTAGCAGTTTTAGTAAACAGGTTACAGATATGACTGACTAGTCCTGCAGAGAAAAGAAGGGAGGGGGGCAAAATGTGCATCACAAAAGGTGTATAAACCCATAAACCTAGCAAAGCAAGGCACTGATATTCTATGCTGCCTAAACACTATGAGGTCCAACTTCAGTCTGGACCAAATTTGTTTAGAACATATTTGTTATGTTTTTGGAATCCACCTGACGAAACTATAAGCTTATTCCTGGCTCTGTGCTCAGGAATCACTCCTGGAGGTGCTCAGAAGATCACACTGGGTGCTGAGAATTGAACCCAGATCATTCACTTGCCAGGCAAGTGCCTTATCCTCTGTACTAACACTCTGTTTGGGAAAGATTTTTAATGTAGTTTCCTGGGCCCCACTCCGACAGAGTCTGAGAAAGAAACAAGCTCCTGGCATGATTTTTATTCATGCTTCTAAAAGTACACTTGAAGCAAACTATCCTACATGGTTGTAGTTCATAGCAGTGATTCTGAAACATTGGTCCACATACCAGTGACAGTCTGCAGGTGTGAAAAAGGCTAAATGTGACTGGGTTATAAGGAGAGAAGACTCCCCATTATTAGTAGAAAACAGGTTATATATAAACATACTTTCCTACACTCTATGTTTAAACTCATTACTTTTTATAGCACAGAGAGACCCGGGGCTCTATCTTGGAACCTAGAAGCTACTGAATCATTACAAGCAATTAAGTGAAAAAAGAATTTTTATCCCACATACATTCATTTTTTAAAAAAGATTATGATCTTAAAGTGCCAGTTTTTATCATGTTGGTTCTGCAAATGTCATAGATGCTGTCAACTGTGATCAACTTTTGGTCTGATGTAGTCTATCACAACAAAGTCATTTTTCACATTTAGGAGGGGCATTGAAGTCGAAGTTGTCTTTATTGTTTCCATTATGTAACATTACACTTCCAATTCACACAAATAATTCTGATTTAAATGTGACCGAGACATAACACAAATCATATTATAAAGCTAAATTGGCTTTAAGCAGGGATCTCTGCTCAGGATCTGAGTGTTCCAAGAAAACTGTATCTTCAAAGAAGACTGTTTTATATAAAGAGAGAGGAAAAGAGCAAGGTGAGAAAACCTGGCATGTAATGAAAGTACCTATCACTGAACTCACTACCTTTTGTCCCTCATCCTAGGATGATCAATTAATGGAAACCCTGCCAAGCACTGCCATCCAAGCTTTGGCATCATTTCCCCCCAGTGTGCACAGACTTCCAGTAAATCAATCTAGTTTTCCTAAATATGTGTAATAGCATTCTTGGACTACAAAAGTAATTAATGTGGTCATTAAACACAGAACAGCCAAAATTATAGGGGCATCATTCAAAGTTGTACTCCTTGTGGCAAACACTAGTGTTTAAGTCACAAAGCTGAAGATGAATAGGCTGGAGGCAAAAGTAGAATGAATTACTGGCAAAATTTCCTTATCAAATGACGGGGTTTGATAGTCCATATCATCAATGACACATAGTACAGAGAAGCAATTACTATGACATCTACATTATGCCAGCAGGCATCCTTCTGCAAGGCAGACGGCATCACTCACGTGCATGCCATGAATCAGCACTTGGCATTTGTGAGTTACAGATAGCAGAGAGGGGACTTTTAATAGTAGCATTTGGTAAATGTTGGCTGCAAAAGATGTTTTCCTTTGTGAGGCTCACAGTTACTTTGTGACACATCATGGATGAGATTAGACCTGAGGTATGACATAAAACATTTCTACAACAACAGAGATATTGCCGGCCAAGCCTATTCGTATGATTTCAAGTGCCTCTCTCAGCCACAGTCAGTATTCTTCATGGCCACAGCTTTATGCTTCAGTCTTAAAATACATGTTTTACTCATTTAACTTTTTTCCTTATTATGAAAAGTCATGAGACAGTTCAGGAAAATGAGTATCTTTCACTCTCATCAATAATTTATCAAGTTTCCCCTTCTTGTTTTTAATACCCTCATATTTGTTTCAGTATTTAAGACAAATGCCTAACATCATATTTCTTCTTTAAATTGCTCTGTATAGTTAATAAAGACTCTGATAAGTAGAACTACAATGCCATGACCACTCAATAAAATTAACAGTTTGAATACATTCAATACACAGTCTAGGTTCAGAACAATCTCAAAATCCTTAACATGTGTGAATAAGAACAAGCCCATGGCACTCAATCCATTTGGTTGCAGACCTTCAGTGTTGTCCTTCAAAACAGAAATGTCCTTTCTCCACCAGCATTTTTATACCTTTGGAGAAATAGAGCATTTTTCCTGAAGATTTTTTTCATGGCATTACTCCAATTTTTTACCTAGAGCCTCAATTTAATTCCATTTTAATTATTTGGGCACTTTGACTTGGGACAGGGTATTTCACTTCCTGATACCTGTGTTCAAGGACATACCATGTAGCTGTTCCGCCTTCCTTTTCCAGTAAGACAGTAAGTGATAATTGGGCAGAGCCAGAGCCTGCCCCCATCTCTACCTGCTGTCTGGTCTGGGAAAGGATCTGGCATTCCATTTTCATGTTGTTGGTGGCACTTCTTGTCTCTCCCATTCTCTTTCATTTGGATCCAGCCTGAGATGCTGGAGCTACCTGTGGCATAGGTTAACATTCCAGACCCTGAGCAAACTCACAGGCTGGAGAGATGGAAGGCAACTTAGGAAAAGAACAGGAAGACTTCTCTGTACCACAGGAATCAGATCCAAGCTGAAGTACTAGTGTCTACATTGTGGCAAAGATATGGGAGCAAGAGCCAGACAACTTGAGTTCCAGAACAGCAGAACTTGGTAGAGAGAAGCTACAAAGAGCCCTCGACAGAGAAACAACCCAGTGATACATCTCCAAAAGAATATACCTCTGAATCTTCCCAGTAGACTAGTCTGGGCTGAGAATTCTTAGGCCTTCTGGGAATGGTGGCAGACAGACTCCCCTTTCAGCCTGAAGATACAGCATCCCACACCTGACACTCTCGGACATAGAAACCACCCAGCACCACAACTCATCAAACTGACGTATTCGATATGCCAAACACAGTAACAACAAAGTCTCCAATGGAGACGTTACTGGGCCCGCTCGAGCAAATCAAACTGCTAAGCTACCATTTTTTCCCCCAGATCTATATCTTCTGTACAGCACAGCCATGCAGTACCTCAAAATTTCGTAGTATTGGGGCTGGAGTGATAGCTCAGTGTGTAGGGTGTTTGCTTTGCATGCGGCCAACCCGGGTTCAATTCCCAGCATCCTACATGGTCCCCCAAGCACCGCCAGGAGTAATTCCTGAGTGAAGAGTAACCCCTGTGCATCTCCAGGTGTGACCAAAAAAGTCTTAGTACTGTCAGTTCCAGCTGGATCACAGCAAATGTGATGGGAAAGTTGCATAGAAGACCATCAAGCTCAGTGGGCTAAACAATAACACAGGAGGCTCAACAAGCACTGACCAGCACAGACAATGACTTTAGTAACATTATTGTGAAATATAACAATGATTACAAGTTGACTTCTGTGGGTCTAAATTTTGAGTGTTGCTACTTCCAAGTGAAGTAAATTTGCTTCTGCCTGCAAAAGGGCAGGCTTGGGTGGTGGGTGGGAAACTGGGGACATGGTAGAGGGAAGGGTACACACAACTGTATTATGAACAACCTAGTAAATATTATAATCAGTTATAATAAAAATAGATAAATAAAAGGAACGGACTTTAGACCAGAAAGGGGTTTCTGGGTCTTGCTTGCCTGTCAGGTTCCCCAGAGATTCTGCACAGAAGTATCTAGAAGAACTTTCTAACACATCCCAAGTGCCCAGTCAACTACTATCGTAGCTTATGTTTTACCATAAAATCTCTTCTATGAAGAAAAAAAATTCATTAAGTCAAAGAATGCAGGAATTTACAATTAATTTATGACCAACTCTTCATAAAAATCCCAGAGTTTATTATTGCGTTAGTTAGAAGGAACTTTCTAAAGAATTCATCCCTATAACTCAGTTTCAAGGATTTAAAGTTCTGGGAATATTAATGTGTACGAACTATTCCCTGCTCTGGTCACTGTGTCCTCATTAGTAATTTTTCAAAATTCAGTAGTGTAGAGAACATGAGCGCACTTTGAATTTCCAAGTTCTTGGAAGTCCTTTATATTTCTATCATTACTGATCAAATACAACATTCTAAATCCAGGGATAATCATCTCAAAATAATTTTATGGTTATATTATACAAACATGGCCATTACTACTGGTGTTCACTGGAGAGTCCACCTAAACATAAAATCTGGAAGAAGTGTATAAAAGGATCTGTGAAGTTCCATGTGGGAAAATTGTTCCCTCCTGAAATGACCCATGCTTAACCATCCAAACCAGAAGTCACACTAAATCCATTGTGTTCCTAGTCTGCTTTTACACAGAAATGCATGACAGGTGGAAGTGGCTACACTGTCTAAGACAGGCTAATGAGAGAACCTGTGAACTGTGGGGTCTTGGGCATGGCAGCCAATGCACTCATTCTCCTCTGGCCAATAGTCACCCACACTAAGGTCAATGACCCCACCCCAAAAACATCTCTGTGGTTAGAAATGATCGAACCATCTGCATCCAGCAGCTTTTAATGTGCTTACACAGGCTTGTAGGGGTGACACCCTTGAAGTTACAGTGTCTGTACTTGGTACCAGGTCCCTCATCCTGGCTTTCGGGCTCCTGTTGAACCTGTGTGCCCTGTGATTCTGCACACTCTCTACCTTGCAGCTCTGACCTTCTCCGGAAACCCAAATGCAAAGGGAAATCGTGCTGGCTTTCCCCAGTCAGCAGAAGGAAACAGAACCAGCTTCCCCTGAGGCCTCCCCAGCTGGTTCCTCATTCTCATTCCTCATTCGTTTGTGCTGAAACAAACCCAAACGTTCCTTTTGGATCACATTTTGGGCGCTTCTCAAACATGATGGGAGTAGTGGCTTTATTTTGTTTCTTTAATTCAAAGAACTTGAAGGAATTTAGTGTTTAAGGCATCCATTCC